GCAAAGACGTGGTTGAGAATACAGGTAATGGGTCAGTACAGGGTAAGTTGGTTTAATAGGCAATACAAGCCAACAATGAAGGAGCTCCAACTGAATATTGCTCGGGCGCTGGATGCTGGAACGCAGCTCTTTAAGTAGGTGTGACCACTTTAAGAGACGTGTGCCAATGACATAATTGGCTGCAAAGCCCGCCAAGAATCCCGGAATCATCACCGGCCAAGTGAGAGGGAAAGCCTGGCAGTGCCGGGGCAAAGAAGATAAGTGATATACAGTATCACAAATCATAAGGTTGCTAGGGGGGAAGCTAATAGGTTTCTACAGTCTGTATGATGTACAGTCATTAGTGATGTATCTAGGATGCACAGTAGCCACTGGGAAGATCTTAGAATGAAGTGAATTCATATACATTTATTTCAAGTCATAGGGAGTATGTTAGAACATTACTCACCTGGCTCAGGATTGCCTCCTATCGAATGCTGAAGGGTAGAACCACAGAACTAGAGCCTAGTATACTTTATATTGTTCTATCAGACAATAGACTAAACTGACCTGTCATGTATGTGTTTATTAAACTATTAAATAACAAATTTAACAAAAGAGTAATGTCCATATGAAGGGCATGTGTGTGTGTGAAGAGGGGGTGCACACAATTCATTTTGGGGAGCCATTGCCTCCTATTTCCTTCACTTAATTGCCAGCTCTGGCTGTCTTTGTGTATATAGTATATATATGCTAAAGTTTTTTGATTTTTACTCTGCAATTAACATACACTTTTAAGCCTTGCTGTGGTTTGAAAAAGAAAAAAACATTATGAGGGGGCCATTTGAAGGATTGCTGAGCATATATTTTTAATGACATATACAGGATTAGTGTAGAAAGTGCTGAACGTTAGTGCTTGATCAGTCCACCTCTGCTCCTTCCGCCTGCCTTCCTTCTGTGAAACAGCACGATAAAATGAGCATGCTTTATAAAGCTAAAAATAACCTGTTTTTGACAGTCGCTTGGTACTTCCAAACACAGACATTATTTCATCAGTTGCATTGTTTTTCTTTGACTTTTTTATGTTATTGACTAAGATTTTAGTCTTAAATAAGAAAAATCATCAGTACTCTAGCCATATAAAATACTACACAGTGTTTTCATGTAAAGTAATAACATAACAGTCAACAAACACATCTTCAATTTACTCATGTGATTGGGATTTGTACTTTGTCATTACCCTAAGACATTCTATGTTTTTTGTATTAGGGTAGTAGACTGTTGCTTCAGGAGCTCATCAGATAATAATGATTATTGATTCAAGGCAGGCTATAAAAAGGATCCCACTGTATAAAAACATTTTTGGCTCGCCCATTGAAACTCATTATTGTTGCTTTGTATATACAGTATATGCTTGCCCTTTTGCCAACATGCAACCAGTCTCAAGTCCAATGTACAAAATGCTGATTCCTCTGATGAGGAGGGACTAATATTCACAATCAGACAGCTGCAGCTACATATAACATAATGAGCATCAATGGACTTCGGGGG